TAACCGTTGTTGTTTATAACAGCGGACCCAAATTTGGGTTTACGACTACTAATGTTCATCTCTGCAGCCTTGCAATTTTGAACCCACTCTGAAAGACAAGGGAACTCCTGGATCATATATTGGGAGAAATTTACCTTCGTGGAGGACCTTTCGATGGAACTAACCCTCATTTGCGATACATGGACAGGAAAACCACGAAAATCTCCCACAGGGAGCCTCGCGACAAGGTGACTCTAACCGATGATCCATCTACCATTTAGTATATTTTACGTCAGCACTATGATCATTGCGAACCGGGGGCGGAATTCGTTTTGACCAGCCATCGCTGGGGTTCGAACCTGGTTCACCTCATCGTGTGGCGAACTCTCTATCTCCTGATTCGCCACGACTCTTTAGTAACTATTAGACTGTTTTTTCTTCTAATTAAAAGAAGTACCAAAATATATTTTTGTTCGCAATTTGAGCATCAGTAAAAAAATATATATGCACAACAAGGTCACCGGGGTCTCGGCCAGGGATAACAGCCAACATCGCAAGTTCCCAAGTAAGTTCCCTTTATTTCTCTCTTGTAAAGTGCCTTTAGAGAATAAGTATAATTTTTTTGACAGATTAAGATTTTTTCTTCAGGTAAGTATAGGTGATTTTAAAATGTCAAGTTTTTGGCGAATCACCCATCAATAGTTCACATTTTTAAAACCATCAATACCACTTAATAACGTAAATAAAATACCTTTTTTTTTTCAAATTTTCTGATCTTAAATATGATTTCACTTTTTAATGTGAATTTTGGAATTTTAATAAAAGATTCATGAATTTTAGTACAAAGACTTTCTAAAAGATAATTTTCTTCTGCCTACTTAGTTTCTAAACCTAATTAGTAGCAACTGTTATGTGAAAATTGTATTCCTATTAAGCCTGCATTTCGCACTTAATTTTTATTTATTTTTTTTAGATAACATCACGAAATCGAAAATTTTAATCATTAGAAATCTTTATTTCTGTTTAAATAGATGTTTCATTCACGGTTTAAACTTTTCTATTCTGTTACCTAAATGAGATGTCAAGAATTAATGAGATGTATCTTTTAAAAAAATAATTAACAAAATCCGAGAACCTCATGCAATTTAAAATAATTTTAAACAAATAAACAAGACCATTTGCAAAACAGAGATAGCAGTAAAACAATTTTGATGTTTACACGAAGATAATTGATACTTCTGTATTAAATATGTCGAAAATGTAAATTTTATTTGTTTTAACAATTGAAAGAAAGTATTTCAGTTTCATTGTCAACATTTGTGTTGCATAATATATGCCTTTTTCTTCTCTAGAATTTCGAAAGGTGACAATTAGAATTTCAAATTACTGTAAAGAGTTTTTCCCACAAATGTATTATTTATAACTTTTTTAAGTTTAGTAGAGAACATATTTAATTATAATTTTCATTAAATTTATCAAATTATGCATGTTTATATAAGTGAAATTGAATTATATATTGAAGCTGTTTTTAAAAACCAGTAAGAGTATTTGTGCTTTTAAAGTATTTCAGTTTTATCGTAAACATTTGTGTTACAGAATCATTTTCATAAAATCTTCTTTTCTGCTGTGTAAAGAGGTTTTATTCTTATAAAACAATATATGCATCGAATATTCAACTACATTTCTTTTATACCTATATTTAGTTAAGAGCTCATTCTTCTATCTTGAAGTACCTTAAGCGCATTTTCCTTCCTTTTTCTCACGCCAGTTTTTTCAGACTATTGGCCTTACGAGATGCGCACTGATTGGCTTAAGTGTTTATAAATTCATAACTTAAAATATTTCTTGGTATATAATTCCAACAAAAAAAAGACAGTCGAATTGCATTACTTATTTCTTAAAGTGTATTCAAATATAAATTATTTAATCTTGCTTTCAATAAAATAATATAAAAATAAATAAATATAAAATACAATAAATAATATAACTATAAAATACAATAAATAATATAACTATAAAATACAATAAATTCAAATAAAATATATACACTGTAAAAAATTCCTGATCAAATTACTGTAAAAAGTACTAGGACCTTGAGTGCAGAATCCTTAAAATCCATTTTTACATTACTTTTTGCAGTGATATTTATTTAATTACTGTATTCAGATATTTTACAGTTAATATCTTTTTTCCAATGCCCACCTGTGTTAACATCCGTCAATTCAGGCATATACAGGGCGATTTTGTTGGCCTCTCCTTCAGGGGCACCATATTAGGTGGGCCAACGTCGCTCCAACTGTGAGGACAGATTGTACAGAAAAGGAAAGAACATCCATGCCTTGTCCGGGATTCGAACCCAGAACCTTTCTGATACAAGGACAGTTCCCTGCCCCCTATACCGGTCGATTTTTACAGTTAATATTACTGTAAAATTATGGTATATCAGATTTTTTGTTGCATAAAATTTTATGGTAAAAATGGATTTTAAGGTAAAAAGAGTGCTGCTACTTTCTACCGAATTTTCATTCGAAATTTTTTGCAGCGTAAGCAGTGCTTTATTCTTTGAACAGGAAAAAAATTATTTTATTTCTTTAATTTTTATTTTATACGCCAATAATTCAAAGTTCAAAAACCTGAATCCGTCGAAAAAATGAATGTTTGTTTAGAAAAAGTAAATTTTTTTTGTTTGATTTCGTTACTTAAAATATCACCTGCTCTAATTAATTTGCATATTTAAAATTAAGAGTTTTATCAGATCAGAAGTTATTTAAGTGTTGCTTTTTTGTCACTATATTTTTAACGTTTTTTGTTATTGAAGGTCTTATATTATTTGTTGTATACTCAATGCGCAGAAAAGTTTAATTACGGATATTGTATTAGACATTAACATCTTTACGGGGACTAAGAAAATTGTCGTAATAGCGAAATTTGCGTAATATGCTGCACTTACTGCACTTTACTGAATTCTCCAACAGGTTCCCCATACCTTTATTTTTTCAATTAGATACAATTAACAATTATATTTTTAAGAATAATTCATTCATTATTTATTATAATGTTGAATTTATTTTAAATTCTATATGATGATGCGTGCGTGTATTCTCAACAAGTTTCACCTAAATTTAACCTTTTCCTCTATATTCGAAGGCATTTTATAATCCTCGGGTGAACACACTATCTACCACTCTTAGGTCCTTTTATCATTTTTCTTTTTCCTGGTTATTTTAAACCTGGCATTATTTATGTAACCGTTTGACTAGCTTATTTATACAAGAAAAAATATTCTGATAAAATTACCTTACTTGTACGGTAATGGCATTATGACATTTATGGTTTAAAAAAAATGAAAAAAACTGGTAATAAAACCAAATTATACGGTATTTAAACCAATCATTTAGTAATTTTTCCGTTAGTATGGTAATTGACCGAAAGATTTGGTTTTCAAAATTACAATTCTTATTACCACTTATTTAGTAAAAATGCTAAACTGAAAAGTAAATTTAACCTAATAAATGATTTTTATGCCATGCTTTAAGGTATCCTGATAAAATTACTAAATTTTACTACATTTACTACCAAACAGCATGGTGGTAGAACCATATTTCATTGTGAAGTTTACCAAACGTCATTATCAAAGTACGTCAGTAAAAATTACCAGGCTTTCTTAGTGCTCCCATATAGCCAGAAACACAGTAAACTTTATCATATTCTGATAGCTTTGACCATACTTTTTCTTAGTGTAATATCTGTTACGTTTGGGGCAATAAAGATTATTTCATAATTATTAATACATATTTTTTTAATATTTAGTACTTATTTATTTAGTATAATCAGGTCAAAAATCCAAAACAAATATTATATACGAGTGAACTGAAGCAATTTCAATTCTTTCCCACAAGTTTCAACATATCTAAAAGAATTTTTAGAAATTTTAAAAATTTATTTTTAAGGATAATTTTGTTTTTTTTAGGTGAAATAATATCAGGTCTATTTTAATTCCCACGTTATGATGCATTCAATCTCGAAAAAAGCTCAATTTATTAAAAATATGCATGCATACAAAAGTAATTGGTACAGGTTACTTCTCGAAGTAATGAAAACATCTTTTTTGTCAAAAGTAACCAGTTCTAGGCTAATTTAACATTCATTGAAGATCAAAGAAGCATATTGTTCGTTCACAACTTAGCACAATATGTAGGATAAATATATCAATTCATTTTGCAAATTAAGAAAATTTCAAAGATGAATAACTGTTTCTCTTGGATATAAATAACTGCAACTAAGTGCAAATTTGAAGAATTATTGTTTGGAAGATTTTACCCTTAAAGCAGAAAAAGACACCCATGTCTCATGCTGTGTTTCATAATCATAAATTATTAAAATGCTAAATATAATATGTTTCCCTTATTTTGTACAAATTAATGCAAAATAATGCCCCCCTCCCCTTTGTGAAGCAACTTTAATAAAAATTCTGTGTGAAAGGGATTTAGATGTTTTTTACCTTACAATTCAAAATTTTTTCAATCGTTGTTAAATTTAATAATAAAAATAATTAATTTCATAAAAAATTTTTTACACGGAACTATCTTTTAGTAAGTTAGTTTTATTTATCCTTAGAAAATTACATTTCACTTATTAAACGAAAATATATACAAGCTTGTATAAATTAAATAATTAATATAAGTAACTTGGATTAAACCTAGTTGCATTTTCATCACATAATCATAACCTAGTTGCATTTTAAATATTTTCGTCACCCTATTCATCACACGTAATGACAAAATAAAAAAAGCTATTTTTGGAATAAACCTATCAATATTAAGTTGTAAAATGAAGTGGTTGAGTTTATTTTTTATTTCCAACACGCATGTTCCCAAAAATTACCGCCTAATCTACAAAATTTTTCCATTAATCTTTTAATTCCCAAATTCATATTCTCAAAATTTAGAATGAAAAAGAAATTATGACTTTCATTCAAATTTAAATTGCAAACAAGTACATATTATATTCAGTAGATGTCGCTAGTTACTGAAGATCAATGGGAGGAATAGCAAGAGAAGTACCAGCATCCCAAAACGAAAATTTCGCGCCTAGAAGATCATCAGTAGAGACCAGTTTTCTTCAGGAAAAGTCCAACGTACCATCTTCAGCTCCCGGAAGATCTTCGAAAGAACTTAGGACAGCTCGCAAGCATGGTAGGTTATTTATGTTCTCTAAGATATTTCTACATTTTTACATCGTTGAAACATGAAGTTTTTATAATTTCCTTTTACATGAATTTCAAAATATTAACAGAAGATTCATATTATACTATTTATTTAAACATTATTGAATGTCAAAATTGTAAGTTTTGTTTTTCTTAACTAAAAATTCTAAATAGTATACTATTTGTTCATCTGATATTTTAAATGTATCCTTTTTATAATGTAATAAGATATTTGATATCTTATCCTTTTTCGCTTTTTAATAAAGAATAATTCCTAAAAAATGAAGAAAAAATTCGCAAAAAATGTCTTAAATGCATGCGTTGGCTTCATAATTAAAATATTATTTACTTATAAATAGAAAAACTATTGAATATATACATTTTTATGAAATAGAATGACAATGGAACGCGTGTATATTATAAAACTGTACTGCTTAATCTTCAAAAATATTGATATAAAAGTAATTTTGATATACTTTATTTAAATTTTCAAGTTATATTCCATATTTTTATAATGATGCATCGGTATTTTATAAGTAATTACGTGTGTTGTATTATAATATAATAAGTAATTATGTGTGAAACAGCTTGTCATTCAATAAAACTTTAAACCATTAATCGTATTTAAAACACAGTGACATGAATAGTATTTAAAATACAGCGACGTGATATTTAAAAATACAGGAACATGACAGCTAAATGATTTTAAAAATATAAAACCCAAAATATGGTATAACTCTGTTTATTTTCTAGCATTGTTTTGTATTTTAGAATAGATAAAAGCAAATTTAGAGAAATAATATACTTTAAGAAAAGCTTCTCAATTTATTCATTCGACAAAAGCATAACAAACGAGAACTCTTAGTTTTTAAACATTTTAACAAATATGATTTTTAAGACTTAAACCCTTGCTTAGAGAATAGTTTCTTTTTTCTTTGTAGTAAGTTAGGGGTGCTATTAAGCTTCCAGGTGCATAATTTTTGTAAAAAATATATTTGGTTTCGAAATAAAACTCTTATTCAAATTCGTACAAAAATATACAGATAGAATATTTTCCTTCCTTAAATGGTTTTGGTTGAAGTATTTTGTTTTACGATTTTTAGATAGAAAAATTCAATAATTTAAAGTAATTCAATTAAATTTTACCTTTAGTTTAAAAAATTACGAAATACATATTTAAATTTAATTTTAATTATTTATTATTTTTATTATTTATAATTTTTACTATTTTTATTATTTAAGCACTGTTATTTGGAAAACATTTTTTTATGTTGATTACTGTGCGAGATACAATTCCTTTAACTTCAATTTAATAAATTTTAATAACGCACTAAGCATTACTCTTTTGATATTTTAAATTTAGATTGATAAGTTTTTTAAAACCTTTTAAAACCAAACTCAATATTTAGCAACAAAAATACAAAATGCAAGAAAGGAATAATGAAAAAAAAATATTATTTGTTTTCAATTTTTGTTTCATTTGTTATCATTTGCGTATAGCATTTTACATCATTTGCAACGGGTCTGGTTAAAAATTGAATCTCGCTTCTGCTAAATGCTGGTAAAATAAAATTATTTTTGTTTAATGTATCTTAAAAAAATTTCTGCAAAAATTTTCAAAATACTTATGGAAAATATTTTAAAATGAAAGGCTGCAGAAATATACATGAAGAAAGTCTATATGAATCATAGAATTTTAAAAGAACATTTTTATGAAAAATATATATTGAATATGTACGGAAATATCAGCAGCTTATATTTATAGTAAAATTGCTATTAGTGAAGATTTTGAAGTTAATATAAATGGTTTATAAACCATATTTAAATTTAAAAAATAGAATAAAATTGTGAATTTAGTAAAATATATTAAGTTTATTGTTCAAAACACATCCACTGTCACTCATTAGTCACATTTGAGAGCTGTCCCTATTCATGGTTTCATACGTTATTAAGAAAAGTAATAATTTTAATAAATATTTTTTTATTCAGAATATATTTAAGATACTGAATATAAAACATTAAATATGAACATTATTAAAAAAATTTAATATTTTTTTAAATTTGAAATTAAATGAGTCTAAAAAAAATTTAAGAGCCTCAGAAAAGAAGAAACCGTACACTGAGAAAAAAAGTATGGTTGAAATAATGGTACAATTTATCGAGTTTCTGGGTCTGTGGGAAAATCAAGAAGCTCGATAATTTTTACCGAAGTGCTTTGGTAAGGATTTTAGTAAAACTAATAAGAGAATATGATTTCATAATACAAGATAGAATTTATTAAATGTGGTAAAATTTTATAATTTTATCATGATACCTTAAAGCCTGGCATAAAAACTATTTATTCGGTTAAATTTACTTTTCAGTTTTGTATTTTTTACTAATTATGTGGTAATGAAAACTATAATTTTGAAAACCAAAATTTCCGGTAAACCGTAATCATATGAATAGAAAAATTACTAAGTAAATGGTTTAAACACCGTATATTTTAGTTTTATTAACCAGAATTATGTTTTTATTTTTCATAATTGCCATTACCATACAAGACGGCAATTTTACTAGAATTTTTTTTTCTCCGTGTACAATGAATTCTCCCAAATGACATTCAATCCATTGTTACCGCTCATGAATCTCTTCTTAAGTAGACATCTTGCTTTGTATGACAAAAACAAGTGTATTCTTTGCATTTTACTATAATTACTCCTTCATTTAATTATTTCTAATCTAACTTTTTTCTTTTAATTATATTTTATTTATTTCTCTCCTTTTTACTATGTTTCTTAGAAATGTTTGTTATGAGTAGAAATCAACACGTTATGTAAGTAGACCAATTCACAAACTTTAATCATAAAATAAATCATGACTTTTATTTTTAACTTTCTTAATTAATATCAAAATTTTTATACCAACTTTCGAAATACAATCTCGAATACAAGCAACATTCGAAATACATACGATATTCGTTTTAAATACTTTGGTATCTTAAGCATAGAAAATTGTCTTGTCTATAGACAAACCCCACAAAAACGGCACTGGCGCTCACTTTCCGACTAGCTAGACCTCTCCACTTTTAACTGGAGCTCTTTGGCAAATGATAACACAATTTAACTTGTCTTCTAAACACGCTTTAGTGCTCTCTTGAGGCCAATTACAATTTATCGATAATCATAATTTCATGCTGCCTTCGAATAATAATGTGATTAAATGTCAACTAGAACTCTGTGTCTGGTGATGGCATACGTTACAATAGTTTCCTAAAGTCTAAAATATAAATTAATCTACAAGTAGGATTAATCATCAATTAAAATGCCAACTACTTTCCGACTAACTAATTTGCTCAAATTTCAATTGTAGCTCTGTGGCTGATGACAATACAAGTTACAATAATTACTAAAATTTCAAAAACAAACTTCAATTTTGTTTCGATATTTTCTGACATACGCAGACAAATGGACACAGATCTAAAAATAAGAAAGTAATTGAAAAAAATAAAATAAAAAGCCCATTAATCTAACTCTTGTTCCGAACTGGAAAAAAAGCAATGCTAAATATACAAATCTAATATGATGTCCAAATTCATTTAATTTGTGAGTCCAACAGACTTAAAAAAATGTAGCATCGAGGAAAACACTTTTTAAAGTCTTTTGAACCCACTTGCTGGATTGTGAGGGACTTCTTAAAAATTCAAAATTTGAGTACTCCACTATTCTTCCTGTTCTTAGACTTTTGAGTTTTAATATTTTAAGGTATTAGGGCACCTTTTCAAGGAAATGAAAGAGATTTTTCCAAAATCTCAGAATGACCTATCCCCTAAAAGTAGTAGCACATTTGCACGATAATGTGATTCAAGGTACCGACAATATGATTCAATGTTAAAACTAAATTTTTACATCATTTTAAAATAGCAATTTACAAAATTTTATTGAAATCATTCGAATAGTTCCTGGAAAATCAAATTTTAAAAATAAAACTTTTTTCGCAATTCGATTGCTTAGGAACTTCTTCAATTCAAAATCTCCTAATTCTGCATTTTGACATTTAAAATTGCATTCTTTAAAACAGTAAAAATTGTATACTTCGCAATTCCGAAGTTTTTTGACTATAAGAAACATTTGCTAAAAATTATATTTTCCAATTCGCTTAAAAAGTTTCCAAGGTATAGTGGAATGCGCAAAAAGTAAAATTAACATTAAAAAGATCCAAACTTTGGACCGCTCTTCTGATCAAACTATTGGGAGCATATTTCACAGATTGCGGCTACCCTTATATTTTGTGAGTCAGAAATCCAAATCCATCAAAAAAAGGGTTTATTTATTCAGAGAAAGTGCGTTTTTCTGTCTAATTTCGTACCTTAAAATATCATCTACAGTAATTAATTAACATATTTGAGGTCACCTTTTCGAACCATTAAAATTAAATCCTAGAACGCAAAGATCATATCATTAAATAAGAAATCATTCAGGGTGGTCCATTTATTTTTTGCATACTATATGCCTTTTGCTGCTGTTGCTTCTATTGTCACTTGTTTCTAATACCAATGCCAGCAAGCTTGTTTGGTGAAACAAAACAAATTTAAGGCAGAGGAGGCGTTTCTTATTTATCAGTGGCTTCAACTATGGCCAAAAATACGAGTTCAGCCATACACATGTCACACCCGTTTATAGGGGGGCTCAATCAATGCCATCCATAGATCGTAATTTTGACCTGAACCAGAGAACGATCAATATCCCATTCAGAATCTCCAGAGGTATGATTTGTTATGAGAATGTGGAGGACTTTGCGACCAGACAGATTCAATGTGTACCGGCCACCATTTACTACACGGCGAGTTTCTGTCGGCGGGGATTGAACTCACGGCCCTTTGGATATAGGCCCAATACCCTAACAGCAAGGCTATCCCAACCGTATGTCTTTTAATTAAGAAGAGCTAACTTTCAAAAACGACTGTATATTCTTTTATTTTCCTGTTTTCGACAAAAAATATGAAGTATAATAAGACAGTTTCTACTCAAAATTATAAATATTATATTTAGAAACAGAGGTTTTAAAGTAACTTTACACCTTACTTCGTGAATGCTAGAAATGAGTTCGCAATTTTTTTTAAAAACTTATTCGGAAAAGATAAGTTTTCTCTTTTCCTCTCTTACTTTCAACAAATGTTTGAGCCTCTCAAATATTTATTTTAAAAGCATTTATCAAAAAGTAAATGTCTTTGTGAACTTCTTTCATTTTAATCTCATTTCTTAAAAAATGAATGGATTACATTTAAAATACACTTTGTCAATATGTTATAACGATCATTTTCATGTTCCAAAGTAAAAAGTAAATTAAAGTGACTCTGGAGTTAATGAGAAGGTAAGCTCTTTATGTACATACAATATTTTACTTGCAGAAAAAGACTAAATTAACGCTTCAAAGTTGTAATTAACGTGGATGTTTAACTTTTCTAATATACCTTAACTACTTTTAGCTCATTTTAAGTGCATTCAGCAGACAGGTATTGAGACTTCTCTTAAAAGTAACTAAATTTGACTTTTATAAGGTCTATACACTCATTTTAACAAGTTAGTTTGAATAAAATATATTATGGCCTGGTGGAAAATTGTATTTCCAATTAAAATCACTATTACAAAGATAAGGTATATAATTCCCTGCGTGATTTAAATCAAATGAAAATGAAGGAACACTTAACATAGGATTTATTTCAGAACAAAACTTTAAAAACTTACGACTTTGAGATTTGACTACTTCATTAAAAATCAAACTCATATCATTTTTTAATTTTTTTCATAAAATGCTTTGAATATTTTGCATTTGGAATTATACACAAAATAACAAAACATTCACAAATTCCTGTGAAAATTATGATTGCATGTAGCTTAAAATATTTCAGAACACTGTTAATTTTTCATTCGTAATTTTTTTTAATTAAGAATCATGATTTAGTTTGGGAAGTGAGCAAAAACCTATATCCCTTGATATATTTTTAATATATTGGATATTAACACACAAAGTTGCAATTTTATACACAAAATAACAAAAAATTTACATAATTATGATTGCGTGTAGCTTAAAACATTTCAGAACATCGTTAATTTTTCATTCGTAACTTTTTTTAATTAAGAATTATGATTTAGTCTGGAAAAGGAACAAAAACCTATATCCCTTGATATATTTTTAATATATTGATATTAATCCGCAGAGTTGAAATTTTAAAAGTTCTTAGTTAATAATAGGAAGCTAATTAATAGCAATTGTAAATAATCATCAAATAAGGTACTATCCATTTATAATCAATTTCTACCAGAATTTCTACCACTTCTACCACGAAAACTGCATTAGTTAATTCTAGAGAACAACCCTTCTGCTTAAGTCTACCGTGAATGTAACACTAAATATAAAAGTAAATATTAAGATGTAATGCGAAGTACTAAAATATTTTTAAAAATAACTTTATAAGATTTCAAGAAAAAAATTTTAAAATTATATTTACTCAAACATCGATTGAATGCAGAATAATTATTAAAAAACAAGCACTTCTCTTGATTTTTCGAAAAACTAATTTCAAGTCAAAAAAAGAGCACAAATGTATTGTCACTGAAAAAATTTATCTCAGACATATATTTGAAAAGAAATCATGCGAGTTTATGGTACCATTCTTATACCCATTTCTTAAAATACCAGTAAACAGAATGAATTATGCTTTATTTTTTAAAATAATTTGCTAGCGGAAATGTCTTATTTTTTAAAAAAAATAATTTATATGGCAATCAGTAAGTTTTAGTTATAATTCAAAGCAAAGAAAAAAAAGAATGTCACAATAAATAACATTCAGATTATTACGTACTAACATATAACCTTGATGGTTTAAGTTGTTAAATTTAAATACAAACAGTTATATAAGTTGCAAAATCAGACATAAAGACGTACTTTCTCTGAATAAAAATAAACTGCCTCAAATTATTAAAGTACAAGAGGGGGCTGTCGCAATCTACAAAATATGATCCAAGAATTTAGTCATAAGAGCAATACAAAGCTTAGGCAATTTTTATTTCTTCTTTTCAAATTTCAGCACTTGTCTGGAATTAATTTTGCGAATCAAACCATTTTTTTAATCAAAACTACTTTATCAGAAGTAAATTCATTGAAAATAAAAATTCTTAAGATTTAAAATATCTATTACTTGATTTTTTTTTCTAATTGTTAGATATACAAATTTTTGCTCAATCTTAGGTATCTCATTTTTGATGGCAAAATTTAGATCTTGAGCTGAGTAGTTTTTAAGAAAGAAAAATTTAAAAGTATCATAGTTTTATTTTGAGCACTGTACAATAGAAATTCACAAATATAATGTTCATTAATGTATTTCGTTTTGAATATTCCTATCGCAGCTTGCTTTTTAACCCCTTTAAAACCGGCAGAAATAAGCGCTTCCCCAGGCCCGCATACTGAAAGAATATACTTACTAAAGAGTACGTATATGTATTAATAAGAGATGTAATACCAGAGTACCGTATTGAGATCACATTTGCGTGATCTTGGGCAGATAGAGTCAGAAAGTCTCGTTTTGTATATAATACCTTGGGCCGCTAGAGTCAGATAGGCCCATTTATATATTATAGTTTTGGCCATGAAGGGAGAATCACGCTATCGTGTGTATATGTGATCATGGTCCCGAAAGGGTTAAAAAAGTTACAAAGCGACGAGTACATTTAAGCACGTTTTAAATAACAGCCAAAGTATTAGGCTGCTTTTGATATTAAACAACGAACATATTTAAAAACTAGAATACTATTGTTTAAACTAAGGAAGTAATTTCAAAATTTTCGGCTTTAAACAAGCAGTAACATACGCAAGGTAGAGAAAATTATACAGATGTGGTACTCTTATTTCATAGTTAAAATAAAAATTATTTCAGATATTTATTTTTTCAAAATCAGGGAAATAAAATTATGTACTATTAAAATACTTAATAATAAGCAATAGCCAATAACGGAAAGATTTTGTAAAACTTAGAATTTAAGCTCACATTTTATTAGGGCGAAATGTAAGGTTTTTGCAGAGAATCAGTTAATTTCTTTTTTTCAAAAAAAAAGGGGCCGCACAAAACTGGTGTTTCATTTAAAGTTTTTAAACCAATTAAATTCCTTACACTTGGCTGAATGCTAACGGTCAACTTGTAATTTGAAGTATTATTTTGAAAAAAAAGTATTTTTAAAAATTAGTAAATTAGAAGCAAGTGCCAATATAAAAAACTTTTAAGGCATCAATATATTTATAAAAGTAGTATTCTTTAAACAATTTTATACATAGAACTCATAAAAAAAGTATTGTTAAAACAACGGGAATATGGTAAAATTTACAGAGCTTCTGGCTCTATCGTAATATTAAAAAGCTCGATAATTTTAACCGAAGTTCTTTGGTAATGATTTTGGTTAAAATAAACAATAAAATATGGTTTTATAATGTGTGATAAAATTTGCTAAATGTGATAAAATTTAGTAATTTTTATCATGATACCTTAAAGATGGCATTTATTCGGTTAAATTTACTTTTTAGTAATGTTTAGTAAAATTTACTTTTTACTAAATGAGTGTTAATAAGAACTATAATTTTTGAAAACCAGAATTTCCGGTAAGTCTTTATTATATGAACGGAAAAATTACTAAGTGAATAGTTTAAAGACCGTATATTTTGGTTTTTTTAACCAAAATTAAAGGGGTTTTTTACCAGAAATGTCAAAAAGATTTATTAAAAATCCATTTTTACTCTAAGAAAAGTGACATATCCCATGACTGCTTATTTTTATTTATTTTTATTTGGAAAGTCAAAATAATTATTTTTTTTTTAAATGGAAAAGTTAAAAGTAATATATATTAAATTAAAGATAAGATTAAAATAATTAAAAAGTAAGTTAGAAGTATAGATATGTTACGATTGATTCAGCTTCAAAAAATAAATGTGTAACGATTTACATTTTTTTAGAGGTTAACTTTTTTAATGATCTAAACCTCAACTTACCATAATGTAACAAATTTAACTCATAAATTAGTTAATTTTTAGCTTCATTTTGATCATCATTACTCGGCTAGCAGATTAATTCATTTTCTATACTTTACTTCCTTATTTTTAACTTTCATTAACTACAGTTTACTGATAATAACTAATTTGCATTTTTTTATAGTATGGATTCGTCAATCATGCTCTTGAACTTCTTATTACACGCAACTTTGGGGAAGAAATGTGGGAAACCATTAAGTGAGTATTAGTTCCAATAAAAAAAGCTTATTTCAATTTTTCTACTTTTAAAATTATGTTTGAATCAATAAAAGAAATTCTATGCAAAAAATCTTTTGAAAATCTTAATATCAAATTAAATTTCCAATTAAAACAATATTTGTTTAAAGAAAATTAATCTAGATTAAGAAAACTATACTAACTTTTTACTATGCAATTCCAAAATTTTATCATGATACCATAGAGCATGGCATAAAAACCATTTATTCGATTAAACTAACTTTTCTATTTTTTATTTTTTACCAACTGCGTGATAAAAGGAACTCTAATTTTGAAAACCAGTATTTCTGGTAAACTGTTACCATATGTACGGAAAAAGTTTTACATAAATAGTTTAATATTTCGGTTTTATTAACCAGAATTGTTGCGGGATTTTTTTTTTTTACCAGAAATATCCTTCCCTTGCAATACGGTAATTTGACCAGAATTTTTTCTCAGTGAATCATAACTTAAAAAACGTTTTTTTTCCTTGTTTTTTTAAAAAACTTTTTTCGTGAAAAGAACTTTTAAAAAAAATACTTTATTTGAAAAAAAAACTTTTTATTTTAAAGTAATTTATTTAAAGTTTCAAATAAAAGAAATTAGTGCAAAAATTCAAAATATATGCTTAGTAAATATAGTTTTAAAAAAATTTCTTTTTACCTAAATTTCTCTTTAATATAAATTTTAGCAACATATTTATATTTCAGGAAAGAGGCAGAGATAGTGATGGAAGGACAGTTTTTGGTGAGATTAATTTATGAAGATGATATCACTTACAGTATTGTTTTTGCTGCTCAAAAATGTCTTGGTGAGTCTTCAAAATATTTAGATATATTTTTTGCACAAATAACTGTTTAATGCAGTATGTCAATCCAGAAAAGCAAGAAAGGGAATGTTTATTGAACACAAGAAATATTGAATTATCGTGGTTTGTCAATTAACAAGGCTGGAGACGCATAACACGATAAAGGAAGATATTAATCAACATTTCATTTTATCACCACCCTTCAATAGCAGACAAAATTTTTGAGTTTTTGCCAACCAATGTACGACTCCATAGCCTTGTAATTTCGAACACAATTCAGAAGACAAAGAAACATTGGGAGAGGTTTGCCGTATTGGAGGACTTTCTTAAATGAAGCTAATCCGCATTTACGTTACATGAAGAGGAAAACCACGAAAATCTCCCTATATATAAACTGCTCTTTTTTCTATCTCCAAATTTAACTTAAATTACAGAAGTAAAACTATAGCAGGTTTAATATAGTTCCAATTTCTTTTAGCTACTCTTTTTGCATTTAAAAAAATTGAAAATAAGGGGATTTTAGTGTCCTACACCAGCATTGCTCCTCCTCTCTTCCCCTTGTAAATAACAATTAACAAATTACAAATCCCTTACCCTTAAGGTACCTTCGTATTATTTGAATGGACACAAATCAAATATTTAGTTAAGTTTCAGTTTGGAAATTTTATTTTATATCCGTCGTTTAACAGCTGCCCAATTTTGGGCTTACGACAACTAATGTAATTTAAGCCTTGCCTTGTAATTTTGAACCCAAAGCAGAAGACAAGGGAACCCCTGAATCAAGTATTGGGAGAAATTTGCTTTCGTGGGGGATTTTTTGATGGGAATAACCCGCATTTTCGTTAAATGGAGAGGAAAACCTTAAACGGTTAGCTTATCATTAAGTGGACTCTAACCCATGATCCGTCTACCATGGGGGATACTTTACGTCAGCACTATGGCCGGTGCGAGGTGAGTGCGGAATTCATATCGACCAGCCATCGCTGAGATCCGAATCCAGGTCGCCTCATTGAGTGGCAAGCGCTCTGTCCCCTAAGCCACCACTGCTCATTAACCAACATTTGTGGAATTTTGATATCTTCTTCAATTTTCTATCTAAATTTGCCAATAGATGTTTAGCAGAACCATAGTGGCTCAGGGGATTGAGCGTTCTCCCCATTCTTGATCCAGAAGTTCCCGTGTCTTCTATATTGGGTTCAAAATTACAAGGCTGCGGAGTTGAACATTGGTAGTCGTAAACCCACATTTTTTTTTAAATATCCTTATACACAGAAGTAAGTGGGTGACAAGTCTAGTCTTCAAGAGACCACAGTCCTTTGAAAATCAGCTTTAAAACTTCTTTAAAAAAAGACATGGTAGGTATATTGACAGTGGGTCCATCCTTTTTGAAACAAAACTTCAATCTTTCTGAACACGTGAAAAAATTACACTTACACTTACTCTCCCATCCCTTGGTGATAGAATTCTGAGGTTAAGTGGCCTTTTATTTGAAACATACTGTATAGTCACAGTCCTAGAAAAACTGGTTCGATGTTGAAAAATGACATAACTATCTTAAACCTAAATAGATTATGAAATTGCTACACATCAGCGGCAACTTTAACAACGTGCTGAATATGTACCATTTTTTCTATCAATTTGAACTATTGTATAATCAAGTTTAAGATGTAAAATAATATGGTTTTACTTAACACCATACTTAAGTGCCAAAAAATGTGAACCATAGTATTGTATAATCAAGTTAGAGATTTAAAAGAATATGATCTATTTAATACCATATTTGAATTGCGGAAAATTTCAACCATCATATTGCTTAATTAAGTTTAAGGTATGAAATAATATGGTTCTTTTTAGCATCATATTTAAGTTCAGAAAATTTTAACACTGATACAGTGTTAAAATAGTACAAAACGCTACTTGCAATAGTGCAAAAGGTTCCACATTAGTTACAGTGGGTGTGCCAAACTGTAAGTGAAGCCCATCGAGATTTATTTGACAAAATACGTGAGCATTATTTTAATAAAATTATTAAGGATTTTAATATAATTAAAGATAGTGAAAAAATTTGTTTTTAAATGATTATACATTACAATAATTTCAAGGTATTACTATATTTAAAATATTTACACTGCTAAAATGTTAATACTTAATCAGTTAAGCATGAATTAGTAAAACAAATTATTTATCCTAACTTATAAATTAAAAATTAGTAATTTCAAAGTTTTTACCAAAAACTATATCTAAATTTACGTAAAAAAATATTCTATTCAAAGATATATCACACTAATCCTTTATATTTGAAATTTCAGAAATCCCTTTCGACTCCTAAAAAGGCCTGAAGATAAATTTCATCATTTAAAAGATTTTACAAGTTACTAAACAAATATTTATTATTTATTTATCCAAAAGATAGAGTTACAAAAAAAGTTAAAAAAGTGTAATTGATGGCACTAATAGTGGTATAGTGGCAACTGATTGATTGAAAAAATTGTGTGTATTCAATATCCTATTTATTTTGTCTCACGCGATATTTCGTTTAGGATGAAATTTAATCTTTTCATACATATTTTTGCAGTCATCGCTAAAAAATAAATATTTGTTAGATGATTGCATGCATAGTAAAATTATAAGTTCAAAAAAGATAAATAAACATTCTTGCAAAATGAAAAATTTTATCGCTTTTATTTGATATTACAGTTTGTCACTAACGTAAATAAATGGAAAAATTCCCAAGAAGTTTTGGAATTTCCACTTTGCTTTGACATTTTTTGGCGCATTTTATACTGAATTTTGATTTTAAGATTGGGTTGAAAAAATTATAATCTTCAGACTTAGACATCAAAACAATGTTTGAAACAAAAACAGTTTCTTAACTTGAACAGTTTTTGGGCTCACATTCCATTGTCTTAAATTTTACTGAGATATTATGAAGAGTGCACAATTTCCTTACAAATTTGTTATATTACATATTTAATTAAAAAGTTATTAAATAATGGTAGAGTGAGCTTCAGAAAGAGTACACTGTTAAAAAATAACTGTAATTTCTATAGAAAAAAAGATTTTTCACAGAAAAAACACTGTTTAAAAATATTATACTGATTTTTTTCTGGTTTCAATCGTTACCCGCGAGCTGCAAAAAAATTCCTGTTTCTTTTTTGGTTGTTTTCATACAGATTTTTTCCGTATATTTGATGGTTCAGCTCTGTTTTTCACAAAGCAATTTTCTGTTTCTTACCCCAATCCTAAGCGGGTAGTATCTGTCAGTTAAAATTCTAGTTTTTGCCATGCAATTTTGCTTACCGTAAGATAACTTCATATTTTTTCAAATTATTTTGCCATTATTTTCTATGCTTGATCTAACTTTTTTATGGTTTTGAAGAGCGTATAAATAAATTTAAGATTCTATTTCATTGTCTAAACCAGATTATTATCTGTCTTTAGATATAATTATAAGGGCCAATATAGTTTTATACGTTTTTATACATAAATATGATTTCAATAAGTAAAACTTTTAAGATAAAGGCAGTTGAAGATTTTATTTCATAACCAAATACTAGAACTGCCGTAGCTGAAAGGACAGAACTCTCGCCTCCTCATGAGGAAAACTGGGTCTGGTCCTATGACTTGCCCCGTTGACTGGTTATGAGAATTCTGCTCTCTGCTCACACCGACCACAATAATGACATAGTTATTTTATAGGGTTTTTCTTTTGTTATAATGACAGAGTTAATTAAAGTAACAGTACTTATTTGCTTCACTTTATCCAAAGATAAATCTTTGCGAAAACCATATAACTCTATGTTAAATGTATAAAATTTGTATAGGTGATAAAATTTGGTATAGCAAAATTTAGTAATTTTAAAATGATACCTTAGAGCAGCAGTTCCTAAATAGTGTTCCCTAGGGTTCCGTTGAAGAGTTAAAAGGGCTCCGAGAGTAAGTTAGTAAGTTACCGAGCTAGTTAGAGAGGAGTTAGTGCTTTTTTTAAACCAGTGATGAATTTTGAAAGATCCGATTATATTCAGATCCAACCAATAATTCATAATTTAATTAATATTTCAGTTAACTTTGTGAAATTATTTCTGGTAAAATGCCAAAGAAATAAAAAAAAGCATTTTTTAAAAGAAAAGAAATATTTCTATTAACACTATATTGAGCAAGGAACAATCATTTATAAAATATTGCATAAGTATTTCCTATCAAGCTTCTCAAATCAGAAGAAAATAATAAAATTCTTTAATAAAGAAATATGTTTCCTTAATAACCGTTTTCAACGTTTATAGCAGTTCTTTTAAGTTTTCGTTTCAAAGTAAACCGTAATTCGTCATACTTTATTCATTTTCAGATAATATATATACACTAAAAACATATTCATAGCGAGAATAAATATAGCACAAGAACTGAAAATTTAACTGCCGGACATAAAGCTTTATTTAAGATTATTAACGATAAAACAATGAAAACTCTTCATCTCTCTAATTAAATATTTTAAAAATAGTCTTCTATGGGTAATAGCGTTCACAATTACCTTAGTAAACTTTATTCTTGTAGTCGAAGATCCACCAAAAGAATGGTGATTGTTTAGAGTTCCGCAGCCGAAGAAAATTTGGGAACCGCTGCCTTAGAGCATGGCATAAAAAACATTTATTCGGTTAAATTTACTTTTCAATTTTCTATTTTTTTCTAAATGTCTGGTAATACCAATCATAATTTTTAAAACTAGAATTTCTGGTAAAACGCTGTCGTATAAGCGGAAAACTTACCCAATAATCGGTTTATAAATACCTTATATTTTGTTTGTTTGTTTTTTTTTCCATCAAAATTATGGAGTCTTTTAACAGAAATGTCATTACCATGCAGTAAGGTAATTTTACCAGATTTTTTTCGCCGTCTATATTCCAGTTACACAATAGATTAAATAAATTAAATTTAATTTCATTAAATTTCATTTTTTTTAAGTTTTGGATGTTTTTATATGTAGTAAAATTTTATTATTTTGTAACTTTTTATTACTTATCATTTCCTCACTTTTATTGTTTGTTTATTTTTTTATTAATTTAAAAGTTTTTTCTCTATGGTTCATAAATACCGTATATTTTTTTTCATCAAAATTATGTTCTTTTTTAACATGCTATTACCATGCAGTAAGGTAATCTTACCAGATTTTTTTCACCTTGTATATTCCAGTTACGCAACTGATCCATATATAATCGATCAAACATTGTCTCAGTTTAGATCATATTTGCTTTACGTAATGCAGAACATTGATAAATAAAAATATAATGTAATAAAATCTACATAAACCATTCCCGCTCTTTTCCATACAATTCAACCCTTAATCCAAATAGGAAAATTCTGTTATAGAATCATGATCTTTATTTAGGATTAAAAAGTAAGTTTTAATTTGAGTAAGTCAGTGGAAATGAAGGTAGTGATGAAAAATTAAAACATTCACTGTTTGAGAAAGTTTCATTTTTCCAGTATTTCAAATACTACTATATTTGTCTTCCGGCGTAGAAATATTATACATTCCAAATTTGCTCTGTAACGGCTTACAGCATATAAACATTAGAAATTACACATTGAAGTTAAACATTTAACAGTGGAAGTTTACCTCAAATGTTTGACTTGAAACATCAGCTTAAAAAACATACTGTCTTTTTTGGTGGTTTTAATCTGATATCGTATAGTATTCTAACATAAAGGGTAAAACAATTAAAATACCAGCAATCAAGGGATCAATAACGTCATTTAAAAATTTTCAAAACCCTTTTCAATTATTGGTATTAAAAAATACTTTGAAATCTCTCAAATTATGGGAAGGTTGCGTTTCTATGTTAAAACAAAAATGCGAAACACAATTTAAAGATATCACTGTAAGAATTACAAAAACTGTTCTTTTTTTTATAGAATTTGACAGTAAATAAATATTGTTGTTTCTAAACGCATAACTTAAATTAATAGAAGTTTAAATGAGAAACATATATTGCTTTTTGCAAACGCTAGTACGAATGCAAAAAGTTTTATAAATGTTTATAAGATTTTTAAAAGTTGAACCAAAAAGTTAACTGGAAAATCTTACGTATCACTTACGTAAGAGTACAGAAGATAGCTTTGTACAAATTGATCCTTAACACAAATATGTTTAACTAATTTACTTATTTTTAGTAATTTATAGACCAAGAACATGCATAGTTAATTTAATTAATAACAACGAGATAGAAAAACGTAACGCAAATGCAGGTTAGTTCGATCAAAATGTTCTCCTTGATAGCTAGTTCGTTCCATTGCTTGATTCAGGAGCTTCCTTTTCTTTTGGGTTGGGTTTAAAATTACAAAGCTTCGAAATTAAACATTTCTAACCGTAAACGCAAAAACTGGCCTTGCTGCTCAACGCGATTATAAAATGAAATAAAATGTTCGTGCATATTTGAAACTGTACTTTATTTATCAAACGTATCGTAAATGTATGATAATTTTGGGTTTCCTAGTTTCTATTAGTAGAAATTACATACGATAGAGTTCAGAAATGTCTTATTGATTATAATTTATTGATATGAAAACCAACATGGCAAGCTTGACAAGTTAATTGTAAAATGAATGAATTTCTATAACAGCTATTTCTAGACCAATCTTGTTACAATCTTGTTATCTTAACAGCTAGTCCAGAATTGGAAAGAGCCTCTGATGGCATACATTAACATATCTGACCGTGAGTTCATAAACAATTCTTAATTTTTATGATGTGCCCGATTTCTCCCTTCAAGCTTGTAATTGAATTGAATAAGCCTGAATATTAACTTAAACTTTTCTTACAAAGTTAACAATTGTTTAAACTATTTGGGTATATGATTCCATTTCTTCTCATTTTTACTTCATCACTTCAAGTAGAGTACCCACAAAATGCAGATAAAATTTTTCAAATTCTTACATGCAGTAAATTATGAAGCAATCTTCTTAAAGTTCTCATTGTTTCTACATTAGGAGTTAAAGCAGCAGATATTCTGGAACTCTTTGGACGAGCGTTTTTTGATTTCTGTCAAGAATCCGGATATGATAAAATTCTACAAGTGCTTGGATCATCTCCAAGAGACTTTTTGCAAAATCTGGATGCTCTTCACGATCACTTAGCAACTATTTATCCAGGGATGCGAGCACCATCTTTTCGATGCACAGAACGGCCAGAAGATGGCACCCTTATTCTGCACTATTATTCTGAAAGAGCAGGACTCGAACCTATTGTCATAGGGATTGTAAAAGTAAGACAAAATACTTTGAACTGAAAATATTTTTTACTGAGAAAATGTATGCATTTCAAAAACAATAACGAAAAACATTCATAAGGTCCTCCAATTCGAATTTAGAACATAGCCTAATTTAATCACAGTCCTCAGTCTAATTTAGAACACAAATTGTGTTCTAAATTAGACTAGAAGACTTTCAAAAATGTAAAACGGGAAAACAATTAAAGTTCAAAAACAATTATTTTCTTGGGAAAAGATAAAAATGTTTCTTTTCTTATGATCCTGGTTATAGTTCAAAATTTTTTCCGACTAGTGTCGCTGTAAGTGATTTCCGCATTCTTTCTGCTGCGTTTTGGTATATAAAAATTTCGCTTTCCAATCAAGAAATGTGGTTGTGACTAAATAACAACATTCGAAGATATAGTAATATGATTTTTAATCATTAAAAGATTTCGATAATCTGTCATATAATTGTAAAGCAAGAATAGTTTTTTTTACCTTAACCGTTTTCTTGTCATTAAAATTTTAAAAATTATCAGATTAATTTTAGTTAACAGTTACAGTAGTTAATAAAACAGCAAAGATAATGGTAATAGATATTGTGAGACAAAGAAAGTACTATTAAAACTTGTATAAATTCTTGAAAATACTTAGATCGGAACTCAGAAATCTTATATGCTTCTTTTAATTAGTTCTTTTCATAGAAAATATAAGTCTGATTTAGATAACATTTTACTATCTATTTTTTTATTAAATTAGATTATATTAGATATGATTAATTTCTAATAATATTCTAATTTCGTATGTTCAGGGCATCCTTCATCTAACAGTTATAATGGAATGACAAAAATAATGGTATGCGAGATTGTAAGGCAAATTAAGTGCTATTAAATTTTAAATAAATTCTTGAAAATATTTAAATTTGAACTCAAAAATCTGCTTTTATTTCTTTTGTCGAAACTTTCTGTAAATTATATATTAATCTGATGTTAGAAGAATGTTGAGCTTTTAATTACCATCACTAACACGGGCAGAACGCAAAAAGATTCCTTCTAGTTGGCTATTCTAACGCAACGCTAGAAAATAAATTTCAAAATCACTTTTACAAAAAACACGCCAAGTTTAAATAGAAGAAATTTAAGCATAATTAAAAATTTAGTTTAAAACTTAACACCATTTCTGCAAAAAATCTAAGCCAAAAGTAAAACTTTTTTAGTGCCTTTCATGGAGATGGAGCGGAGACATATGCACGGCAACGGCCGGCGTACTGCCACTGATTTCTCGAAAAAATTCCATTTTTCATTAAATTTGCAGTTTTTTTAACAAATTTTAGATGTTTTTATTTGTTGTAAAATTTGTTTATTTTTGTAACTTCTTATAACGTATCATTTCATTACTTTTATTATTGTTATTTATTTTTTTTTATTATTGTAAAAGTTTTTTTCTCTTTCAATGATAGTTAAAAAATAAAACACATTATTTAGTATAAAATTATGTTATGAAGTTGAAACAAATATGAAAAACCTTACTTTAAAATGATTGCATTTAATTTAGCTGCAAACAAAAATATTTTCTACATTTTATTTTTTAAAAAAATGCATTAAAAGTTAGAATTTTTAGCATCCTTTACGGAAAAATTTGCCACTGCAACATGGCTTGTATGTAGTTTTCTTAGATTTTAATTTGTTAATACCGTTAATAGAACTGAAATTTGAAAACATTACCAAGGAAAAATATGTGATCTTATGTCTTCATGTCTGTTATGTTTTATAGGCTGTGGCATCCAAACTTCACAATACCGAAGTAGATGTGGAAGTTGTCCAAACAAAGGGTCCATTGTGTGACCATGTACAATTCGCTATCAGAGATAGCAATGCATCAAATAAACAATGCGAGCAAGAAGCTGAAGAGCTGGACACCTTGTCTATGGAAAATAAAATAAGTCCTTCGACTTTCTGTAGAGCCTTTCCATTCCATATCATGTTTGATCGTCATCATCTTGTGCGCCAAGTTGGGACATCAGTTGCAAGAGTTTTACCGGCTCTGACTACACCAACTTGTAAAGTTACTCAACTTTTCAAAATGGTCCGCCCACATGTTAGTTTCACTTTCAACAACATTTTAGCCCACATAAATACTGTATTCGTTCTTACAACAGTAGGGAGTGAAAATAGTGATCAAAGGTATGGGGAATAGTTTTCATTAAAATATATTCTGTGTTCACCACCCTTGATGTACATTGCACAATATTGGAAAATTTGGAGTATTTTGAACCATAATATCGTGTTTATTTGCTGAAATATTAATATAGTGTTAAGTTGAAAGATACTATTTTTATCTATTATTACATTATACTAGGCTTCAATTTAAACGGTAACGTGGTTCAATTTGATACCTTATTACGATTTTTATTTTTTATTTTATGACTAACGTTGAAAAACAGACCTTTTTGGGTTTACAGCTATCCATATACAACACTGTAGCCTTGTCTTTGTAATTTTGAACATACACAAGAAGACAAGGGAACTCATGTATCTAGCATTGGGATAGACTAGCTTTCCTGAATACCTTTTTGATAAAACTAAACCGCATTTGCTTTACCATGGAGAGGAAAACCACAAAAACTTTTCGTGACTAACTCAACAATTAGGTATTATGTCAGCACTGAGATCAGTGTTTTCCAAGAGCAGAATTCAACTTCACTAGCCATCGCTGGAGTTTGAACCTGGATCGACTCATTGGGGGGTGACCACACTACCCCCTAAGCCAACCAGCATCACTTTATAATGATTACAATAAATTTTCACCATATTATGGTTCAAAGAGATCAACCAATTTTCTTGACAGAGTAGATACGCTCAAAAATTGGAAAATAAAAATTACTTGGCTTATTGGCCGCAAAATAATATTTAAGTTAAGAAAATAAAAGACTGCTGAATAATTTTTTTTGTACTTTAAATCATACTTGTTTTCTCATTAATTTCGATAGAAAATAGTCAGATTTTGATAAGTTTTTGTTGAGTGCTTCTTTACATTCACTCGTTTTTTCAAGAGATATTCTGAAAATATACTTTTTAGATGTAACCTTTGCAAAACACACATTGCGCACTAGAAAAAAGGGTGAAAGAGTCATGGAAAACAAAAACCTTTTTTGATATGTTTGCTTACAGTGAGAAATTTAAGTGCAATCTAAAAGAAGTATTTATTATTTCATTAAATTCTGAGTTAAAATTAACTAATAAATTTTATTCAAAAGTGCAGAAAAATGACGTAGCTAATGAAAAAATTTACGCAAAAAAAATTTAACTTTTGAAAAGATAATCTGTGGATCGGTACAAAATCAGGTTAGAAGTCATTAAACTCACCTCCGTATAAATTAAGTTGAAATTTCCTGCAATGCGTGGGTGAATATATATATATATATATATATATACACAGGGTGTATCNCTAACCGTGCAGCTCAGGAAGGGGCAATTTCACAATTCTAAATAAGAAGCATTGTTTTTCTATTAAACATTTGGATTCTTCAGAAAAAAGATCCCAATTTAATTTAGAGTGCTTAAAGGAATCTCAAAGTAAAATTTAAAAAGAAAATGGAATTATCTCGAGAAACTCCAAACTCTACCCAGCTTCACCCCCTATGCCGAGATTGGGGATTGGGGGAGGGCCGAGTTTAATGTTATGAAATGTTATATGTTTTATATTTACAAAATATAAAACATATTTTAATTTTATTTTAATTTTCATTTTTATTATATTTCAATTTTATTTTAATTTCATTTTAATTTTATTTAATTTTATTTTAATTTTAATTTATTTTTAATTTATTTTAATTTTATTAATTTTATTAATTTTGATTTATTTTAATTTTATATTAATTTTATTTAAATTTCAATTTATTTTATTTTAATTTTATTTAAATTTCAATTTATTTTATTTTAATTTTATTTTAAATTTATTTCAATTTTATTTTAGTTTTATATTAGTTTTAATTTAATTTTATTTCAATTTTATTTTATTTATTTAGTTATTCATTTATTTGTTTTTGACCAGGCGAGTATTTTTTGAGATTTCCCCATTTTAAACAGTTCTTATCCCATTTTCATTTAGCGGTTACATCTGTGAAACAAAAAGCAAAAGGTTGTAAAGTGAAAGGGAGATATTTCTTTTCTGAAGAATTCAAATATGCAATAAAAAATGGGGGTTTCCATGTAAGAGTTTGAAGTAACATCAGGAGGTGAGGTTAAATGTCGATTTTGTTATCAAAATCAAAACATCTTTTGAAAACATTTCACGCGTATATTTTTAGATTACTGATCCAAACAATATTTATAAAGATATTTCTTCATTTCTATATTCTTCGGACACCCTTTAAATAAATAATAGTGTGCTTTTATTTCATTTCAAGCTGATAGTTTAACCCTTTCTTACCTATTTTTTTCTTTAAAATCAACAAATTATTTTTTCAAAACTTTTTTGTGGCATAAGCAGAAGTTATGCAATTCTTTATTTTCTTTATTTATATGACTAGATTTTTTTTATTGTGACTAGATTATTTTTTGTTTGCTATGTAGAAAATTAATTTCGCCCTCATTCGAACTCAATTTTAACGAGAAAAAGGGCTGATGCAATCTCTCGCTAAATCACACAGCTCGTTTAACCAGATTTGGCCAAAATTATGCACAAAAACGTGTGTAAACACGTACAATGTATTAGCAATGAAAATAATATTTAGAATTGAGAGAAAGGAGACCTTCCATTTCTAAATGGTCTATAATCTAGCATAATATTTGGAAATGTAATACTGTAATTTACTCAGCTTCAAAGTTCGAAAATGAACTAAAAAATGCATTCACAGCCAGCTTTTACATTTGACCACTTTGTCTGAACTGGTTACCCTCTCTTCAAACGTAAACACCACAACCAATGAGAGGAGTTTCAACCACGACAGTTTTAATATCCACCTTGCTGCATATACACGACGGTTGTTTGGTTAGTTAATGAGATCGAACTCACGATGCACAGCTCTCTACCAGCACCGACTACACAACCGAAGCGTAATAGATAAGTACTGCATTTAGCACGAAACCATTTTTTGAAAGCATCGTCTTTTTTATAAACTTTTTCATTAATGTTTTTGAGCTTTTAAAGTTTTCTGAAGTTCCTTGACTCGACTGGAAATAAAATTTTCCAGTAATACACATAAAGGACTTACTCATTACACACAATATATGAGTAATTTAAATTTAATGTGTGTTTTAAAATTCCTCTGATTTGAAAAGAAAATTAACAAGCAGTCAGATGCATTTTCACTGACAACTTCAATAAAATAATCTTCAAGAAATTCAAATAAAATTGCTCTTTAATTCATGCTTACAAAAAAAGAATGTTAAATAGGGTTTCAAAATTAAATCAACCATTTTGTTAAATTAACTTCATTATCTCTCTAAATCGATCTCTCTAAATCAGGGCTCACAAGATTGGCTGTAAAGACATTGAAATTAATGGAATATAAATTAAAACATTTTATTAAATTTTAGCTAGTTATTTTTAGCGCAATTTAAACAGAAAAAGTAGTTCATTTCAGAAGTAGTTTAAGGTAAGAATGGGTTAAACAAAGTACATACTTCTAATTTTATTATTCTTCGTAAAACATTTAGCATGAGACTAAAAGGCCAAATGCTTTACCTACCAGAAACAGACCATATGCTCTTTTTATGTTCACCAAGTGTTCTCAATTTGGATGATTTGAATAGAAGAAGCCTCTACCTCAGCGATATTCCATTACACGATGCCACAAGAGATTTGGTTCTTCTTTCCGAACACTTCGTTGCAGAATATAAGTTAACAAAGAACTTAGAAATTCTTACTGATAAACTTCAACAAACCCACAGAGAATTGGAAGACGAGAAACAAAAAACCGACAAGTAAGTTGAATTTAGATTTTACACTAAAAACTCCCTCGCATATTAGAAGAATCAATAATTTCAGTATAATAGTTTACATTACAGGAATTAAGAATTCCCTAAAGTTTACACTAGAGTAATTAGGATCTCCTATATTATAGTTTACATTAGAGGAATGAAGGATCCATATTAGAGTTTACATTAAAAGAATTTAAAAGTTTTATCTCATTTAATAAATTAAGCGATAAAACTTAAGCGAAAAGATATACTTGATAATGTAAAAACTTCATTTGCATCAAAAATTATAAAGGTGAAAAAACTGACATGTTTCGTGTGCTCTAAAATGGGAGGCTATTCTCAAGACTCACCAGGCGTAAATGAGGAGAACAAAACATATATATAACAGAAAACGTGAAGTTGCCACAGAAAATGGAAAATAAATGAAAGTGGGAAACGAAATTGCAAAAACCGTGGTAGACCAGCGAGGCAAATCAGGGTTAAAAATTTATGTTATTTACTAGGAATTTGGCATTCATATTAATGAAACAAGATTCCAGATCATCAAGATGAGCTGATGTGCCAAAAAAGATTTTTGGCATTTTTGAAATTGAATGTATGCCCGAGGCTCCAACAATGCGTGGTATAAGATGTCTTATCGAATTCTTGATAACGGTTATAGATTTCATGCTCCCTTAATTTAAATTTTAAAGCACGTCTTGACTGTCCAATGTAGCCAAAGTTGCGTTTGCAAAGTATGAGGAAAATTCCCCACCGAGTCTTAGTACCTTTATGTCTCTTTAAAATTGTTAACAGGCCTGAAAATGACTTTGAACCAAAACGGAATACGGTATAAGCAATTCTGTAGCAAACGGAAAGATAAACGGTTTAGTAACAGTCTCATTTTTAAAAAATGGACTTTTTGGTTAAAAAAGTTTAACTACATCGGAATTAATTAAAAAAGGACTACACGTTTAACCTCCAGCAAGCGGAGGAAGTTAAATTCGGAATAAGAGTCAAAGCAAAGGTTAAATGCACAGAAAATTTCTAGCGATTAGGGTTATTAGAATTAAGATGGGGAAGAGGTAAAGGCACAGCAAAATGTTTACTATAAACAGAAATGGAAAAATGATCAGGTTAGTTAGTTACTAGAACATCTAAAAAAGTAGAGTCAAACTAATTTCAGCATCTAAAATAAATTAAATGATTGGGTCAACAGAGTTGACAGCAGAAAGTAACCATTTAAGATTTGGATCACATTCTACTAAGACAAGCGCGTCGTCAACATATTTTTTCCACTATGAGAGTTGGAATAATTTAAAGACTTTTCCTTCAAATTCCACATTTATAGTTTTTGATGAAAATAAAATTTTAACATTATTGGAGATTACGCTAGCAGAACTAGAAGTCCTATACTAGAGTTTACACTGAAGGAATTTTCAACCATATTAGTGTTTACACTAAGGAAATTGAAGAGCTTGAGTTAATTTCATGATAAGCCATATTTCGAAATTATGGCCAGTTCGCGCTTGTGATAAAAAAAAATCACTATGATATAACCAGGTGTTATTGTGTATTCTGCAGTCTAGTGGAAATTCCGTAAAAAAGAAACTATGGCACAGTAATCTCCTTCGGGAAAAAAGTGTGGCTTATCACTATATTTTCTTTGGCAAAAAATCCTTCCCAATATTCGATCTAACACTAGATTAATTTAGAAACATTCTGGGGCGTATTTTGATTAATTTCCAATGAAGACGTTTTAATTTTTTAAATTTTCTGAATAGATTAAAAAAATTTGCTAGATTTAAACTCTTAGAAGTATTAATAAGAATGGAGAAATTCCACAAATAAAACATTAATCCTTAATCCCATTTTCCAAGAAACAATGCTTTTCAATCTTGTCTCATTAATAACGCCAAAATTATTATGTTATGTTCTTTTATGTGTTTATTTATTTGAGACTAAAGATAATCACATTTTCTACAATGTAAAGTTGGATTTCTTATCCATACATTTTAATTTAAGAGCTTCTATGTATTTCGAAAGTTTCATTTTTCCACTTTTCTCGTATGTATAAAAATAATTCAGTAAGCACTCTAAAAATTAAATATGTTTATTTAAAAGTCAGCAATGATTAAAATTTTGCTATCTTAGTAATAGTATAGAAACTCCAAAGAAAAACACGAAACTCCTTTAATTAACAAAGCAAATTAAAACTCCGGTTTTACACTAAATTATTGATTGAATAACAATGAAAAAGGATAAATAAAAAAAAATTTAAAAAAAGAGACCTACAAATTTAAATTTATAATAATGTTTCTTTTGAGTTGTTCTCAGTTTTAATACACGAAAATAAGAATTTTCATTAAAAAATTAAGAAAACTGATAATAAATATTTTAGAATAGAGTCTTAAGTAGTATCAATATATAAGACTACATCGAAATATCGCATGTACATCGAAATATAATCAACATTTTCCAAAGAATATACTTCATGCTTGAATATTAAATATAAATCTAGAAATCGAGTATTAAATATAAAAAATCAAACTATGAGTTAGAAAGAGTGCACTGTACAATATTTACATACAATATACTAACTTGCATTACCTATTTCAAGAATATATACTTGTCCTCGTCAGTTTTTCTTTAACCTTCTTTTTAGTAAAATTTGCAAAAATAAAATAAAAGAATATCGATATATCTCGTGAAATATGGTTATACATATATAACGTTATTTTAAACTTCAGCACGATGTTTGAAATATTTTTAGGACTGCAGGCTATTGCACTTAACCTTTAAAGAAAACTTCCATTTTTGTTAATATTTTAAGACAATTACAGCTTAAATCAATATTGACTAATTCAATAAATGACATTTCGAATCTGATGTATTGATATAACATTCCTCATCAATCTTTAATGCCTCTTTTTTTTTAATTATGCCATTTATTAAATTATTATATAGTAGCATTTTGATTTTTATCTGAATATTTATTGCGACACATTTTATTTTGCAAACAAAAAAATTAATATTTATTAATTTTACCCGTATCATTATTATGAAGAGTAATTTCTTTTCATTAGGTAACATAACTCATGAACACAGCTTTATTGTTTTATTTGAAATCAACCTTTTTAAATACAAAAGACTAACTTTTATGGAAATTTACAAGATATCGATTAAAAACGTGCATCGAGCCAAAAAGAAAATAACTTTTGTTTTCACGTAATAAGTGTCATTTTTGATGGGGTTGATCATGTGATAATTCGAACAAACTACTTATTAAGTAACGAAATCAAATAAAAACCGTTATTCTTGTAAATTAAAATAAAATTTTAAGTAAAATTTAAATAAGAAAATAAAGAAAGAAACAATAAGCAACTCATTATGTCAAATTTGCAATGCATGTTATGTGCCTCAATTAATACAGTAAAAGTCTGTTTGTAACAGCAGATAGATTTGTCGTCATGAACAAATATACATGTTTAATGTAAAAATCGTAGTAAAAAAAGACAAAAAAATAAAATAAAGTGCATTCGCGGGTTTTAACATTATCTCTATCAGTGAATGCTGATTTTAATAGTTAGCTGTCAGGACGGGAAATAACAGAACATTGCACATATATTAATTTGAAATGTGAGGCATGTTTCCTAAAAATAGTAGAAGAATTTTTCTTGTGTAAGGAAAAAGATAACTTGGCCGATGGTCGCACTAACGTTATCATTATAAACATAAAAATTTAAGATTGCAAGAAGGAAATAAGTGAAATAGGGAATATAGGAAGAAAGTAAGCTGCATTTTAATTTTCACTTTTGTGTAGTAATACCACAATAAAAAAATTCTGTTTAATTTACAGAAAACTCTCAGCTGGTGTGCCGGTATGAAATTGTTTATTTCATTAAAAAAACTCTGATGCTTATAAGCGAACGCCTGTTTTTTAAGCAGATGAATATTATTTTAACAAGCAAACTCTATTATTTTTACAAAAAAAATAAGTAAATATGCCAGCATTGTGGTCAGTGCTAACCGAGAGCAGAATTTGTAAGACGCCTTGATTCAAAACCGGGTCTCTTAAATGAAATGCCTTCAAAGGCAAGTCAATCGCAGAGACTTTGGCTAATTCAAATAAATGAACATCTTATTAATTTATACCAAACTTATTTAAAAGCTTGCGTTGGATTTTTCCATGTATTACTATGGTGATTTCCCACAGCAGGAATGTTGGGATTTTACACAGACATGAAACTATGAAAAAGCAACGCATTTTGGACATCCCCTGAACCACGATAAATCTGGTGTTTGGTTTTGGAGAAAAAAAACTTTAAGATGGCTTTCCTACTTATTTAAATCATATTTAAGTGGAAAAACTTTCAAAACTATAGTGGCCCACCTTGAAAAATGTCTGGCACTTTAACTTAACGAAAAATTATATCTCAAAACAAATAATAATCAGGTAGTGCATCAATTGAACAATTAAATCGAATCGCAATTTTATTTATACAATGTTCAAACTATGAAATAATTGCTAAGAAGTAAGAGCAAGTATGGAAAATAGTATAATTATTTGAAAAAAAGTTAAACTTATGTTACGGTAAGCAATACAATAAGCATGGCAAAAGCTGAAATTTAAACTGAGTTTTAATCCATTTATGATTAAGGTGAAAAGCAGAAAAACAATATTTTGAAAACCTGCATTAAATATACTGAGAAAGAGTGTAAAGAAAAAGGAATTTTCTGCAGCGCTCAGGAAATGATTAAATACAGAAAAAAAAAATCTTCATTTTTAAACAGCTTTTTTTTTCTATGAAAAATAATGTTTTTTTTTTTCAGTAGAATTTACAGTTGTTTTTAACAATGCAGAAATAAATAAATAGATCTTCAGTTTTGCCCTTTTCGTATAAAATTGCTTACTTAAACAACGGATTTTTTTCCTTCCAAAAAAATGTGTCATAGCGGAATGTGTAATAGCGGAAAGTTAATAATTTTGAAATCGTTCTAAATGCACAATTTTTGCATCTTTG